ATTTTTGACCGAGACATAAGCAACGTAAAGCGACACAACAGTCGGCCTTTGTTGCTGCTCGTTCTTTGATGCCAATTTGGTGTGTCTGGGCCTCAGGGATAGATTTACACCCAGGTCCCTAATAGCCTACTGGGATACCTATAATGTGGAGTGAGAATTTCAATACCCGTGCCGATATGACACCTGGGTTTTGGTACCAATACCAAAACAAGCAAATATTTTTTCTTTATACTTCGAGGAATACAAACCTTTTTTCCTCATCCAACCTTAAGACACAAGCATTCATAATCAAAATTTGTCTGAATAAACTATGATTTAAATTAGGAACAATCTGCAAAAGAACAAGTGGGAAAAAAAGGCTACAAATCTGAGCAAGCCTTCTGCACTCTGCTCTGTGGACACTAAGTCAGTCTCAAAAAAAGCACTGAGGCTGGAGACTCAGCCGCAGGGATTCCAAGTCATAAATTTATTTTTGGCTGTGCATTACTTTGTGTGCTCATTTATGTGTGTTTGCATGTGTGCCTAGCCATGGGAGTGTGAGCAAGTGTTTGCGTTAAACCCAGACTGTGTGTGTGTGTGTCATAGGCCCAAATGTTTGTCCCTGGAAACCATAGACCAGCGTCAGTGAGAGGGGGGGAGAAAATGAGAGTATGTGAGGCAGGCGTTTTCAATACTCTTAATCCAAAGTGGGGGAAACAGAGTCATTCTTCTTGGTTATTCTTTATAGATTTGAGAGGAGAAACCATTTAATAGCAAGAGATTTTTAGCTTTCAGATACTGAAACAATCCACATCCCAAACTGCAAAGGAACAGACCTCATCTCTGAGGACAGGGAGAGAGGGAAAGATTAGAGGCAGATTAGAAATCCAGGACAATATTGTGGAGAAAGAATACGTTTTCAAAAAGGAGAGCTGCAGACGGGAAGACGGCGAGGATACTGCTGACTCAGAGGAGCTACTGTATGTTTATAGTTTTCAGCATTTAGGTCATGCCCTTTTCTGCAGCTACTTAAGTCCCCTTCAGACATGCACTTTAGTCCTAAAATGCTCTGCCAGTTTTAAATGTTGGCAAGAAACTGAGTCATTTTTCCCCTAAGCGCTGTTCTGGCAGTTTTCCGACTTAGGACCATTTCTGCACCATTTTGAACATCTCTCACGTGTAAGCACACGCAGTCCTTATGCCACTGAAAGCACATGGTTTTATGACGTTCTTCCATTTGACATTTCTGTGGCATTAGAACCAATTATAGGGGACGGCAGAGTGACACTTGATCATATTAAGGATTTTAAAGTGGCAGATTACACTGAAACGAGAGATTGTTTTTACAAGGATGGCTGGAGATGGCTCGATTTGACATCGAAATTTGATAACAGTTGTTCCGCCGGTGCCAAGGACGAGATAACAAGTGAACAATCTCTCGGCTTGCTCATCACATAACTTTCCGCGATGCCTCTTTGCACGGGCTGGATGCCAATCATGTGAGCTAGTTTGCATACGTGGCAACCGTGTCCTTTTGAACAGTCAACATGACACTTTTTTAAAGTCCTGTGTGTGTGGAAACTAAAAGCCACTGCTTCAACAGACAGATGAAACAAGCAGTGTAGCAGACTTAATGTCTGAAAGCAGCTTTACGGAGAGTGAGCAGGGGTGCTCTGAGGACCGACCCTTCTATACTTTGACCCTCTCTTTAATCACTGAGTCACTGCCAGCTCCTGATAGACGAGAAGTCTGAATCACTTGTGCACTGTTTGTAGTGAAATACAGCTATAAAAGAAGGAGCCACTGCACGGTTGTGGATATGATGTACTGCTTGATGTTTTAAGAAAATAACTGTATGGCTGCCTGCCTGCCTGACTGGCTGGCAGGGGCTCTATTTTGGGAATGGTGGAAGCCCCCTCTTTCTCTCTCTCTGCTGTTGTCCTGCGCTGTGACTCTTCTGCTTGCCCTCTGGCTACATGCCTCTTGTACTGAGCAAGAAGAGCACTTCACACTTCCCCAGTGAAACCAGAGCTCAGCCTTCAGCCTCATGCCTTGCCATGTCCTCTGGGCTATTTTTACTCCAGCAGTGGCTACTTGTGCCAAACCCATACCACAGCCTACTGGACTGGAGCTGAGGCCACTTGTGTTTCTATGTACGTGTGTGTGTGTGCGTGTATATGAGATAGTAGGTGTTTGTAGGTGTGTGAGTGGTTAAACTTTGCATTTTAAAAGAGTTGTGTACAGAATAGAGCTGGGCAGTGTGCCAAAACAAGATGATGTAATTCTAATAATTATGGGTTGCAATATTGTAGTCATTGGAAAACAACACAAAAGGCTGAATTTGTTTAATAACTCAAAAAGTACTGGTAATTATGGTCCAAATTCTCTAATAAGGGGCCACTTCGACATTGGATATGGTCATTAAGGTGAAAAAGAATAATTAGTGTTAAACGCATGGGGCAACAAATTTGTAAATGTGAAAAAATTACTGGATAACACTTTTTAAAATAATAGGTGAAGGTTGTTGTGTGTTGTCATTCATTATACGCTACCTTTATAGAAGGGTGCCGGTGATCATGTGCGTTATCATGTCCAGTGTGTTTCCATTCATATACCTACACTGTATCCCATTCTGCTTTTGCGTCCTAGGAGCTGGCCTCCGGTTTGTTGTATCCCCATCCCGGTGATGTTAATACATGTTGGATGTTTGTCCTTGTTCACATCCCCTACAACTGCAAAGCAGCACCACTACACAATCCCGTTCTTATGCATAACTCTATCTCCGTTGCTGCTGTAGCTGACTGGCACACAGGCAGCAGGCATTGCGCTGGTCATAGTGGCTTGATCACTCGCCATTCCGCTTGTTGTGCTAACATTGTGTTTCATATCATAAGCCCACAAATATTAATCCATATCTCATAATTATCAGACTTTGACTCTCTGCCCAAGGATATTCATTTATTTCAAAGGGTCTAGGCTATTTATTTGTTCTATATCATCACGTTATTAATAATATAAGCAGAAGCTTTTCACACAAAGTGGTAACCAGTGTGTGTGTGTGTGAATGCATGAATGGGTCAGACCTGCAACACTGGCTTTGAAATGAACTGTAATAAACTGAAGCTTGAGTGCTTTAACTACCTGCTGTGAAACAACATGACCCTCATCCATTTAAAATGACTGTGAGTTCTTCTGAGGTCATTTTGGTGAAAGTAGTACAAAAGTAGTCGAATAGGTAACTTATTACTCTTAAATGAAGGTAACTAGTAATATGTAATATTATATTTTGAGAGTAACTTGCCCAACACTGGAGATATCTGTCCTACAGTGTAGTTATGTGCTCCTAACCCTTCTGTTCCCTGTAGTTATTGATGCCATTTTTGATAATGTTAATCATACAGACTACAGAACAGTCAATACTGATTGTCACATTGACTGTATTGACTGATGACGGCATGACAACGCGGCTCCCACACCATGACTGATGGTCATTATTAGTGGGAATGAAGCAATTTTAGTCAATGAATCATTTTACTTGTCTCCAGAGGACAATTGGTTGTGCAGCAATCAAACACAAGATAAAAACACAAGGCACATAATGCAACAAAAATGAAGTTTAAACACATTTTTAAACAATTCTTAAGATATGTAGAATTTGGCTTGTGTTTTCTAATGTTGTCACGATACCAGAATTCTAAACTTCAACACAAAACTAGTATAAAAAACAATACTCAATACCTATTTTTATACCACAGCAAAAAGTTGCTGGCTGTTCTGACATCCATTCAGAGTCCTGTCTGCTTGTGCCTCATGTTTTCAGAGATTGTCGTAACAGCCACAGGTTGAGGACCAGGGGCTGGTTGCACAAAGCACATTAAGTTTGCTTCTTATGTATGACACTCCAGGCTTACATGAAATACCTCGCCAATAACTGACTGTTGTGAAACCATTGCATAAAACCGCAGAGCAATCATTGATTGTAAAGGAGTTGGAAGAGTACAGCTTTGGAAAGTTGAGTGATCCAACTCCAGTTGGTCACAATCATGAACTGACTTCCGGTCAGATTTATAGCACAACATCATTTGCTCATTAGCAAGCATGTCCATCGGGTTCTCCTGGTCGCAGAACGCTCTTCTCGGGATGTCTTATGTTTCTCTTATCTCCATAAACTCAGTAATGTTGCGGTTAAGACAGAGGTACTTTATGTTTTTGTCATAACTTTGGTTACTTAGGTCCAACAGTTGAAGCAGTTCCTTAAGTACAAGACCAAGATAATGAGAAAAACTTAAATCATTAAACATTTTAAGGAAACCTAAAGGAGAAGACTTAAGGATGTTTTGTGCAACCAATTTTATCTCATGGAAACCTTAACTTGGACTTTAAGGAAAACGTTGTGCAGCTGGCCCTAGTAGATTTTCATCCCTGTTGTTTCATCTCTGCAGCCTTGATTTGAAAACTGATTGTAGATTGTTTTTTTTCTTGTATAGCTTCAGCACTTTCAATACTGTTGACTTTATAGTTAACAGATCATATAATTTTAAACGGGGTATCAAATGAACCACCTAAGTGCATTTCTCAACACCTCACCCATGCCACATAATGTCAGTGCACAGCTGGAGGAAACCACATCCCCTCTCTGCCTCCAGCTGGTGTTCAACACAGGCCCACCCATGCCAGAATCATCCACATACAACAAAAATACAACATTAAAGGGAGGGGAAAATACTGTATTCAGTAAATACAAAAATGAACTTGGGGAGAGGGGTCATTTTAAAGTGGAGAGAAGCATAGATTGGCCATGTTAAGAAGAGTTATTGATGATAGGCTCTATAGAAAAACTGAGAATTCTGTGCAGATGAATTTCTTTTTCAAGCTGTTAAGTGCTGCTACAGCTTTCAACTCATCTGCGAACCCGGAGGCTCCATATTTATAGCCAAAATTCTTTTTCTCTCCCTCCTCTGTCTTCATGTGCTTCGCCTGCCTGTCCGCTTTATCTAATTGTGTCTCTCACTCTGCTTCAGTGAAGTACATCAAGGAGATGTCGGCCTTCTTTAAAAACTCGGGGTCCCCCGGGGCGGCCCTCCCGTGGGAATCTCCCCCCTCCACACCTCAGAGGGGCACCGAACTCTCACCTGAGGCGAAGGAGCCCCGCAGCATCCCGCTGAAGATGTGCCAGGTGACACGAAAACAGTGCCCCCCGGACACAGAAAACAGGTAATGCGTGTTACGAGTTTACAGCTTTATGCAATATTTTGATTTGCAGTTCATTCATTCCTCAACACAGATCTTAACCTGAAAATAACAAAATGGCTCAGAGAGAATAGTGTAAAAGGGACTTCATACCCCGTCTTCTTCACACATTCTCTTTGTTCCATCTGAAACTTCCTCTTCACCCTCAAGCTTTTCTGCCTTTTGTCATTTGTCTTTCATTTCTCTAACTGCCCCTTTTCTCCCTTTTCCTCCCTCCCTGCTTGCTTCCCCCCTCTCGTCCTCTCATCTCATCTGCCAGGTATTTCGAGGTGATTTCATCCAACAGAAAGAACTCTGTGTTCCTGCGGGCAAAAGACCCAGCCATGGCTCAGTCCTGGTACAATGCCATCCAGGCTGGTGCTGCCAACCTTTTACCCCGAGTGAAGGAGGAGATGAAGAGCATGCAGCTTGGCATGGAGGTCAAACATCTGGGCTGGATTACAGAGCAGGTATGCAAGAATACAAGCGTACATAGTCCATACTGCAAGATCTGCTCTGCAGTGTTTTGCATTTTTTATGTTAATTTTTTTCAGTATGTCATGGCACCCTGTTTTTGTGCCTGTTTTTATATCTGTCTGAGGTGAAGACAACTTTCCAACACAATACAATGAATCCTATCTTAAAGGGATTGTTTTGATTATTTGATGTGGGTTTGAAGAAGCAGGCAGGAGTACCGCCTCGGAAGATGGGGCCAGCAGCAAAACATATGTTAGTCAACTAAAAAAAGTCCCACCAAAAAAAAAATCTTTATCATTTTAAGTGTATGCTATATTGAGTATATTTCGACTGCTTTACCTTGCCGCAGCTTCAGTTCCTCATCCGTGCTCTCGTCAAGCCACCAGCTTGCTGAGCACAGGAGCTGCTGGTCTACCACTGCCTCAATCAGTTGACTATGCCGTAGCTTACGCACGTGGATTATGCCAATGTGAGCATTTATACTTGTGCAGTGGTGTCTGTTACACCTCCAAAACACCAGTCGGCGACAGTGTTTCTGTGAAGTGCTGCAAAGTTTAGTTGATTCAAAACACACATTAACCACGGCTTAAAAGAGACAATTTCAAACACAAATCGGCTTAACTTTAACTCACAGCATTCACAGACAAAGCACTTGTCTTTATCTGGACACATTTTCCCCACTAATACAACATGCTAATGTTTTTACCACAAGCCTATGACATTTTACATTGTATAAATTAGCCTAGCAGCTAGCAGACTTTTCCTCTACTCATATGAAGCCAGGGACAACAGCAACATTTAACAAAGGTAATGTCACAAAATTTGGCTCCGTTACAACTCACAAGGTTCACTGACAAAACAACTGTCTCATACTAAACACTTTCTCCAAACAAACATAACATGCTAACGTTATAAGCACAAGCCTATGGCATTTTACATTGTATAAATTAGTCTAGCAACTAGTGGAGATGAAGCCAGTATAAACTGCAGACAAGACTTAAAATGCTATTTTGTGGAGGCTTTGTTATCTTCATAATTTATTGTTTCTTATCTGTGAAATTAAAGTAAATAAACTTTTGTTTCCACTGGTTTCAGCATACAAAAACAGACAGGAAGTCTGTGCCGCTGTGGCGTGTCGTTACGTGTCTGGGGAGATGTATGTCAGGTTACAGCGTAGGGTCTGCGTCGACGTAGAGTAGGTACAGCTTAGATTCAACACAGAAGTATAAATCCCGCATTAGTTTGTTTGTATTATTTGACTTGGTAAATCCAAACGATGACTTTTAAATGCCAAAGTCACACAATAACACAAACAAATGAAACGGATGGAGGCAGCAGTAGACCAGCAGCTCCAGTGTTCAGCGATGGCTAACTACTGTTGTTCTTAATGGAGTCTGGTGGCTTTGAAGAGCGTGATAACGGCTTCAGTTCTCCATCGAAAGTTCCTGTCTGACGTTACAGTAGAGCGATGAAATTATTCCAAATGTAGTGTACAATTAATCTGATTTTGTTTTTTTAAGTAGCTAAAATACGCTTTGTTACTGCCCCTGTCCAGAGCAGTACATTACTTAGCTTCCGTGTCAATACTCCTCATATAAGCCCACTTCAAAAGATCGGAACTATCCCTTTAAAGTGCATGGAGCAACACAGAAATACAGGAAGCACATGCATATATACATGTTCATTTACAGTCATGTAACAATTAATCTTGAGTGCTATATCGTAGGCAACTGTTTTTCAAAGACGTCTCACCTCATCCAAGAGGCTCTTCAGTTGAGAATTGAAAAAGCCTCTTGGATACGATAAAGCACTTAAGATTACCATGACCTGGATGACTGTGAATCTTCCCCAACACATCACCACTTATCCCAGATTCATAACTGCACGACACATTACTGTCAGAAATGTGCCATGTTTAGTAATCATAGGGTCCATATGAGTGAGATTAAATGATTTCTTCAACTCTGCCACAAATGCGCAGGTGACCCAGGGTCCAGAGAAACCAGTACTGGCTATGTTGACTGACAAAGACCTGCTCCTGTATCCCTCCCTGCCTGAGAGCAAAGAGAGCCTCAGCAACCCCACCAAGAGTCACCCGCTCATTGCTACCAGGTTCACACACACACGCCTGCATATATACACATACACCACATACAGCACTCAGTATTTATGAACACACCTAGCACTTACAGTACATTTAATAAACTTCTGTCCACACTAAGCAGCCCAGTTTTGAGTTAACAGACTTGCCTCGGCTTATTTTGGCCCAGCCCAAGAGCTCATGCTCACTCTTTCCATAACTGGACATTTGGACATTTTGCCTCCATAACGTCACGTTCATTTGGAAAACATAAGTGGAACCAGAACCTATGACTCATGTGTTTTTCCCTCCTTTCCTTCTCTCCTGTGCACTCCACATCTCACTGTTCACATCTGTAACACACCAACACGCACACCCTTTGCTCTTCTGGCTCATCGTTTTCTATGAATCTTAATTACCCTCCTTTTCATCCTTGTTCTTCTCATACTTTCTTCTCTCCATCTACAGACTGGTCCACTCTGGCCCAGGAAAAAGTTCTCCTCTCCTGGATTCTGATCTCTCATTTGGCCTGCGCTCGGGCACTAAGCAAGGCGTGGAGACCCATGTGTTCAGGGTGGATTCTGCCAAGGAGCTGTCCACCTGGACTCATCTGCTGGTGGAGGGTTGCCATAATGCTGCTGAGCTCATCAAGGAGGTCACCACGGGTATGGATTCAGAGATTTGTTTGACTCCCAGTTCGGTCTTCAATCTTTCTCCACCTAGGAGTAGAAAAAAAATAAAACTTTGTTCTGAATGACGCAACCAAGGTTCAAGATTTGACTCCCACCCTTTGCAAGAATGAATGTTGTCATGGTACTGCAAGTTTCTTTTGGTAATTCATGCCAAATTGAATGCATGCTGAACTTTTTTGCATCAACAAAAAGTGCTCACATCCATGATGGATAATAAAGATGTGTGGTATGCAGTAAAAAAAAAAAAAGCCTATATTGAGAGTCAGAAATATGGACAGCTCAATACCACTTTTTCATGTCTTTGATTATCTTCCAATACCGTATATTTTTCCCGCTCTTAAAGAACTAAGCTGTTAATAATATATTTGTTTGGATGCACTTTGCCTAGCTTGGCCAATGGCCATCTAAACAACATCATATTCAAGCTGTAAAACACATATTGTGCTCCCCCTAAGGAAGAGATACATAACCCACAACATGACTCACTTATGCAATACAGCTACATCTGTTTATTCAAACTTTTTCTCATACAGAACTTTTACCGGCATTTTGATTGGTTACCACCATTCAGACATTCAGAATGAAATCTGAATCTGAGTATTTAGAATAAAAACGAATAATTATTTCTTTATTATTATTATTATTATTATTATTATTACTATTATTATTACTGATTAGTAAGTTGAGATCAGTACTTGGCTTTCCGCACTGAAATAAGAATTATTTCCCTTTTCTACATAGAAAAAGAATTGTAGAATCAGTATTCATCTTTTTTGGATTATTGGTTTATGTATGGAAAAGCTGTTGCCTCTAAATTGAAATGATTTATGCTGTCTACCACTCAGCCCTGAGGTATGTAAAAAGTGATCCTTACAACAACCATCACTGCCATCTTTACCAAAAGGTCGGCTGGCCACATTTGGCTCTGAGGTGGGACCAGCTTTGGTTTTTATTTATCTATAAAGCTCTGATAAAGATGCTTCCACCCTGGTATTTCATCCTTTTTAACTCTGAACTTATATAATCTAGGTACTCCCTCACAGAATGGGTTGTTGCTCCACATTCCCTTAATCAGATATGAATTAGGAAATACGTAATTCTCCTAAAATGAACCTTATACATGGAATAATCTGCAAAAGACCATAAACTTGGATATTCTTCCGCCATTAAGGCTGTTGAAATACCTTATTTCTGATCTTGTTTAGTTGCTTGTAAATGCTTTTAGCTATCCAACTACCTATCATCTACACAAAAGTATGTTTAGTAACCTGTATTTTAATCATAAGCTAGTATATATTATAACTGGTTTAAGTTGCCATGGTGGTGCAGCGGTTAGCATTGTGCCTCACAGCAAGAGGATTCCTGGTTTTGAACCCAGGGTGGGGCAGCCCTTCTGTGCGGAGTTTTCATGTTCTCCCCATGTCAGCGTGGGTTTCCTCCAGGTGCTCCAGCTTCCTCCCAGAGTCCAAAGACATGCAGGTTAACTGGTGACTCTAAATTGTCCGTAGGTGTGAATGTGAGTGTGAATGGTTGTCTGTCTCTATGTGTCAGCCCTGTGATAGTCTGGTGACCTGTCCAGGATGTACCCTGCCTCTCCCCCAGTGTCAGCTGGGATAGGCTCCAGCCCCCCTACGACCCCCAACAGGATAAGCAGTTACAGAGAATGAATTAATAAGTGGCTTACATTGTTTATCTGTTTGCCTGATGGTTGTTTTTTATGCCTTTATTCATGCTCAGTATCACTGAAAATGAAGGTCTCCATCAGCTGATTTCCAGAGTCTTAAATGAAGGTTTGAATAAATGAATGAATAATTCTAGTGTAAAATACTGGATATAACTCAATGTGGCCGATACCTCATTGGCATAGAAAAACAAAAAGGTTGACCATAACTTGAATAACCTCAACATATAATATGAAATGAACAGTGTAACACATTATGGTAGTCCTGGCATCTGAAGGCACTCACAACTGAAACTCAAGGCCATTATTAACACTTGATATCAAGTTAGCTGCACTGAATAAGAATTATCTAAGGGTAGACAGCGCAAGCTATAAACTAACTCTACTGTTAATGTAACACATGCTGCTCATCTGTGTTAATCATCATGTGACATGTCTCTTTACAGCAAGTTACACAAAGTTTATCTGAGCATGTACGTGATAGGTCAGGCTAATGGATCATATCGGAATATACTTTTATTTTTTTCTTATCTAATCCAGTGATTTTGGCCTGTTGCATCGGATCTTGTATTCTCTAATTAAAAGTGCTGATTATATTGATCAAACTCCTCAGTCATATCTATGAATATAACTCAAATCTATTTAATCCAAACAAGTACTGCTTGGGCACAAGATGAGACGTCTATTCAACAAAGACACAAAGTACATAATCAGGGACTGTCTCACAAAGCAGGATTAGGAGTTACCACTTATTGTTTCTTGCACTGTGATTTAGGGACTGCGGTCTTTAGCAAAATGTCCTCCGTCTCTGGAGATTTCTCTTGGCTGCGTGTTTATAAAAAGACTGGAATTAGGTTTTCAGAAAGGAAAGCTGTTGGTAATAGATTTTTATGAAGAACTGGAGAGGAGACAAAACATTTTTGTTTCAGGTGCAGCTGTATATATGGCATAAAGCCATGTCTGCTCTGTGTTACAATGCAGCTCTCTTTACTTCCACCATCCAGATCCTGCATTTTAGTCATTAAAGTTTCTTTTGGAAACACAGTAATCCTGCTTTATATGACAGGCTCCAAGTCAGTGCAGTGTAGTGATGCTGTTACATTGCCCTCTGCTGGTGGCATGAGGTGGTGTAAAAACTGTCACCCTAAAACCAAGAATGGGCCAATTTTAGTACCAGAATTAGGATAGTGTTGCATTGAACTAAGAGCTATTCTCTTTGCTTAACAATAATCGTTATTTGAATCATATTGTTATCCTCTCAGTGCTCATAGAACACAGCCAAGAAATCTGGGCTCCGCACCAACACCGTGACACTGATCTCACAACAAAATGAGAACACAAGAAATGTGTGATAGATCCAGATTTATTTGAGAACAACTTCAGCTGTGTGCTGTAAAATCATTACTACTTTTTTTTCTGCCTCTGTGTAAGCCCTGTTTTTTCTTTTCTACCCCGGCAGCCTGTAGTTGGAATGGGAAGGAGTGTACCCTGGGAGTCCACATTGATGAGGGCTTCACACTATTCACAGAAGAGATGGGTGTCAGGAAAAGTATTCTGCTTCAGCAGCCCTTTGAGCGCCTAAGAATGTCCTCAGATGATGGAGTTCGCATGATGTTCCTCGACTTTGGAGGCCCCGAGGCCGAGATTGTAAGTGTCTGTTTACCTTCTGGCTTTGTCAGTATATAGCATTTTTGAATTATAGCTGTTATAGTGAATATGTCAAAGTTAACTTATCAAACATGGCAGTACATGAGAGTGTTTCTGAAGGAAATCTTATGGATAACAGCATTATAGGCAAATGTCTTCAGAGTGCTATCACAATGCCACAGCTACTTTGAATGTTTTAAATGATTATATAAACAACTACTGAGAAAATAATCTCATAATCCCACTTGATAGCCTTTCATGGAGCTTTCAATTCAGCTTCAGACTGCTGAGATGTCATGAACATGGTCAGCTTTGAGCTATCTCCACCTGACTCAACAAATGAGCCATTTGTGTGACAAATGTAAACTCCATCTGCTGAAGAAGACCATGATATATAGTTGAAAGCTCCAGAAAATGTAGGACTAACTACTCTTTCCAAAGTCAAAAGTGAACTTTTATAGAAAAATCACAATTACTTCAATATTTTAACTATATTTAAATATGTGTTCACTTAATACAAACCCTTTTGTTTTGTGTTTTTTAACATTTAGCGCTAAGGTTGGGCAATATGTTAACATTTTTTCAGCTGGCCACCGTAAGTCAAACAACTGGCCAGCTGCCGATATGTTTGCACAGGTGTGTGTTCGAGCTGCGAGTTCGCTGTGTTCCACAAGTTCTTTTACCTTTTTATAGCTTAATCAATAAACAAAATAAAATCACAAAATATCAAGAAAAGAAATATTCAAACTACAAGTCCTGTTCTTTCACTGAATTAAGACTACATTAATTGCCTTTTAACTCATAAAAACACTACATTCAAATTCAATAGTAACAAATTAAAACTAACCAAAACTGTTTCGGTTAGTCTTTCCACTGTTTAAACTGTCACCAACTCCTGTTTGGTTGAAATAAACCCTTAATTCACAGAGTCAGAAGTGAAAATATGCTGCTACAGGCTGTTGACCCCACTGTCTCTGTTGCTGCTAACGGGTTAGCTTGCTACACAAGAGGGTGTTGCTGAGTAGTGTTGCAGAGGTAGACAGATCTCAACACTTAGTTTTAGCACTGTAGTTCTCACTCCTTCTTCAGAGGCAGACCATTAAGTTGGCAAAGTAAAGTGACAAACCCCACACACACAATTGACAATGTGTGCAGCCAATCTCAGATAGCCATGTATGTGTCCAGTTGCCCAACCTTATACCTCCACGGTGGTGATAGCTGTGGCCGGAGGCATTATGTGCACAGGATATCTCGAAAGCCTTGAGGGAATTTATTCAGATTTGGCACAAAACATCTACTTGGACTCAAGGGTAAACTGATTAGAATTTGGTGGTCAAAGGTCACTGTGACATTGAGTGTTTCTCATTCTTGTGATGCGATATTTCAAGAAAACCTTAAGGGGGCTTAATTTTTTACAGATTTTGCACAAGCGTTCACTTGGACTCAAGGAATTTGATTTTGGGCGATGTTGTAAATGCAGAATCCCAAGAGCACCTTGAGGGAATTTCTCAAAATTTGGCACAAAAATCTACAGTACTTGGACTCAAGGATCTGCTGATTAGAATTTGGTTATGAAAGGTCAAGGTTACTGTGACCTTGAATGTGTCTCATTCTCAAACACAATGGGCTCTAGTTTCGCAGACCGGGCAAGGCAGGGGCGCAGCACACTTGCGCTTCGCCAACTGGGTGTGGCCAGACGGATTTTGCAAGTTTGGCACACCTTGCGCGCTGGCGCAGCTACTCTTCTGTCCCACCTCCGTCCCTCCTACCTGTGCAAGTCGGAAAGGCGTGGAGTGGGTTTTACACACATCACACCAATCAAATGAGCCCCTCTCCTCGCCCTTAAATGCGCCGTGCGAAGGTGTAATGAGAGTTTACTCAATTCGCCATGGCAGAAGAGAGCGGCAGCGTCAGACAGCCAAACTTCTCCCAGGAGGAACCTGATGTTTTGGTTCAGGAGGTCCAAGCTCGCAGTGTCTGAATATACGGAACTGCGAGCAGACCTCCACGGGCTGATGATGCAAAGGTAGCCTGGGAGGAGGTCACAACAATTGTAAATCAATGTTGCGTTTCTCTCATGCACGCGTGCGCTCTCTCTTTCTCTCTCGCAGTCTCACTCTGTTTCTTTTCTTTTGACTTTTCTAAGATGACAGATGCTGAATATATACTCCCTATCTGATGCTGTGGCTGTTTGTGGTTGGCTGAGAGGGATGTGAACTCATTAGTTTGCAGCTGTTTAATCAAATCAGGTTGGGTTTCCATTACGCGTGCCAAACGGTGCCAGTCCCCTTTGATCTGACATCAGATGTGACGGGACAGTCGATATAGAGATACATTTATGTGCTGATTGCAGATAGTTGCATTGAATAGTGGTTTTTTGGGTATTTATTGCATTGTTAATGTGCCTGATATTCTGGAAACCTGCCTGTGAGGTTTTGGTGATGTGTGTGCACTGTCTGCTGGTCAGCCAAACTTCGGCTTACACTGGCCGCGCTTCGCCTGCGCTGACAGTAGACCTGGTTTCAGCTGGCGAGCTTTTAGCGCACCTTCGGCGAAGCCTTTTGGCACAAAACTGTCACTGCGCCAAGCTGCATGTGTGGACACCTCCCCCTGCTGCGCCGCCACACCCATCTCAGCGCACCTCGGTCTGCCAAACTACCAAACTGAGCGCGCCTCGGGTTGCGCTGCTCGAAACTAGCTCTGCGCGGGGTTCACCACCCTGCGCCACCCTGCGCCACCCTGCGCTGCGCCGGGAAACTAGAGCCCAACATGTCAACAACGCCTTAAGAATTATTTTTTTGCAAATTTGACACAACCTTTCACTCACTGTCACTGTGACCTTGCATCTGTCGAATTTCATGAACGTAGTATCTCAAGAAGGCCTTAGGGGAATGTCCTTAAATTTGGTAGAAACTGTCATTTGGACTTACGAATGAACTGATCAGAATTTGGTGTTTGAAGGTCAAGGTCATTGTGACCTCACAAAACATGTTTTTGACCATAACTCAGTATTCACATGCTAATTATGACAAAATTTCACTCAAATGTCTAATAGGATAAAATGAAGTGATGACATTTTATATCCAAAAGGTCAAAGGTCAGCTTCACTGTGCCATCATGATGTTCTACAAAACATTTCTGGCATTTCTTTAATATCATAACTCCATAACTCAGGAACAGAAGGGGAGACATTTGGTCAGATACTTGTCTTGGGTGACTACCTTAGAACTGAAGTAATGGTACAGATCCTCTGTTCTGCTGTGGTGAAGATGTGTGCAAAGCATCCATGTTCTCACAGACATGGATGTAAACTGTAAGTGTACCTAGTCTGTGTGTCAGAGCCACACAACCACAAGGTGGTAATTCTAGTTTCTAAAAATGTAATCTGTCACTGTTCAAAGGTGTAATTAATGGACTTCCTGTCTCTTATGCATTTCCTTCTCTTCAAACTCTACCTCTTCTCACAGCAACTGGACCTTCATGCCTGCCCCAAGACCATAGTCTTCATCATCCACTCCTTCCTGTCTGCAAAGGTCAAGCGACTCGGCCTCCTGGCATGATAACGGCCAACCATCCAGAACATCGACAATAGGAGTATTCAATAAAACACACAGCCAGAAGACTCTGAGACACCAGAGGATGTGGCCCCAGGAAAAGATGCTGACTAACCCCTCCTTCTCAGCCCTCCTAGGCCTCTGATCGTCTCTGGTCAGACACCTGCTGGTCTCTGTAGGGGAACGAAGAGAAAACTGCAACACTGATGGACCTTTGTTGAACCTGTAGTTGTAAAGTAAAGAGGTTTTACAGATGGCGTAAGTCAGCAGCCACTTAAGGGATCTGACATCTGTCAAGTCTGTTACGGTGGGTCATCACACTTTCTGATGGCAAACTGTGTGAATGAAAATGACAGCCTGCATCTTACTGTTTCGAAGCTTGAAGTCCCAAACATTTTATGTTGTTTTTGCCCCATTGTTCAGTTCTGTTTTGTTTCATGAGTCACGGCAGGCCTTTGTCATGAGCATCCTTTCATCTTTCAATCTTTGCTTTATGCGCTGTGAGCAGTCATAACAAGTTATTTCATAAAAGTCCTGATTGATGTTGGACAAACTTTGTTTTTCCTTTATAAAGGCAGCTTCAGTGGAGTGACAGAATGACATGACTGATAACTACACGATCAATAGTCTGGAATGAACAATGTACAGAATACAACTATATGCTCTTTATGTGGATTCTTAAGTTGCCTTTACCCTGAATTTTCATAAAAGAAGCGACATAATTTCTGTTGAAGATGACTTCTAAATGCCAAATCAAATATAGCAGCTGAATTTCTTTTCTCCCCTCTGTCTGTCTTCTTCCCTGTTTTAAGTGTGCTCACCCACAGTCTAACAAAGAGAAACGACTAACAGAGTATATTATAAAAGGCTTTTTTTGTAATTGTGTTTTAGTTTAACCAATAAATTAGATAAAAACTTATAATTTTCCTAACATAAAAAGACACCCTCTTTAAATCTGGATAGCCTTCGTCAGACAGTGTGACTGTGCAATTTCATATCAGCTCATGTGAAGTACAAACAAGAGCTCTTGTGTTTTTAGAGTCTTGCAGACAAAGGTTGTTCCGTAATCATGTATTGATAGATGACAGAGTCAGCTGAAAGAGCGCCAGTCCAGCTAAGCTACTTCTCCTGTATTATTGAGCTTTCAAGTAGAGTTTAGCTCTTAATTAAACCATTTTGTAGTGCAGTGTTTTCGTCTGTACTTAATAATTTAATCATGAGAGGGGACAAACGGTCCTCATCAGAAACCACTAATGGTCCATTTTCTACACAATTTGTCCAACATTTAAATATGTTAATTTACCATATAAAAAGACATTGAGTTGTTTACATCATCAAGTGTTTGTTTTCTTTCTTTATTATTTGTGTCGACTGAACATCCAAATCTTATTGGGGCCTTCTCTCTGTGTCCAACACTAAACAGACTTGTATTAATATATATTTCAAAACTAAAACCTGTTTGCTTTCAAGAATAAAAATGTATTGTATATTCTTATTTAAACAAAGGTGTGCCTTGCAGGGTTGTTTGTATATAAACATGTAATAAACTTTGTTAACTTTTATGGATTGCTTTGCATGTGCTTTATTGATAGGCTATAAATGTGACTTTATGTGGGTGAGAGGGTGGAGCTAACCTTGACGCTAGCTGCTAGCTTTGTTAGCAAGGTGCATTTACAGTCTATGATTAACTGTGACAATGCTAATGCTAATTAACAGGCTTAAAACCATTGAAACAAAAGCCCCATTTCCACCGAGCAGTATGGTTCAGTTCAGTGCGCTTTTTTTTCCGTTTCGACTGAAAAGTTGTGGATGGTACCAATGGAAATGTTCCATACCATCCACATTTTTGTTCCCCCCTCTGTTGGGGTACCTAGCACACAGATCTGGTACTAAAAGGTGGAGCTGTGAACACTGCAGTCTGTTGATTGGTCAGTAGAGGATGGTCACTCTGCTCAGGGCCAAGATGTGGCTTGTTTTGAGGCTCATGTAACCACTGTTCATACTGTGGAGAGTTTTATTAGTAGACTAACTATAAATTGAAAGGATGTTTTGCTGCAGCAACTGGAGACTGAGGAAAAATAATTCACTGGGCCGACTGCTGGCAACTTTTAAGGTGGAACATTTACTTGTAAATGTTACTCAATGCATGAGTTGACGACTTGAATCAATCAACACACCTTAAATTTTACTGTAACATGTTTGACCATCACTTGAGTTTGTATCGTCTCTCTTGGATAACATACATTTTTAGTAAAGTGGATCTACCGGATTATGTAAACTGCATATATTCTAATCCTCACTCGGAGAATAAAAAAGCACTGCAGAGTGTCGTTCCTGTGGGCTACAGCGACACTAACCCCCTGAGCTTGCCTTCAAAGGACCAAATGCACAAACCCACTATTTTTAAATATCCCATAAAAAGAGACTCTCGCTGCAGCCTGTTCTATTTTGCTTTGAAAATGTGGGCATGCAGCCTCGTTCTGTGGACGATAAGCGAGGTGCAGACTGATAAAGGAGGAAATACAGTGAGTGCTGGACGGAGCAGTGAGTAACAACAACCCCACCCACATTTAAGGGTACTGTTTGCTGTGGAAACGCAAGTTTCTAAGTACCATGACTGAAGGGTTACTTTTGGTTCCAAAGGTACCATACCGAAAGTGTTTGGTGGACACGGGGCTAAAATGTACTTACTTGCTAAAACTGAACATCTGACTCCCCAGAAGGTTTTTTAGTACGACTTAACGTTGAACAAGACTTTTTTAGATAACCAAGATGTTAGTTAAAATTCCATGAACTGAAAACGCACTGAAATAGACAGCTACAGCTTTATTCTGTGAATCTGGGGTTATACTATGGTTACATTACCAAACCAAAAGTTTCACCGTGGTAGCAACTTGTCAACAGACAGCACCCACCTGTGAGTCAAAGCAGCCATGCCCTTAATTATGCATGCTTTAATTAAATTTAAACAGACTTGAGCGCACACACTCAGATCATATTTGTTAACTTCTTTATCGCTTGATGATTCTCAAGATGGAAACAAAGGCATGCATTAGAAGGAATAAAATTGTGACCCTGACTGTTTATGAGAAGAGGATTGAATAAAATTATCTATCTCTCCACCTGTCCATCTATCCATCTGCTGTAATAGCTCTCTCAAACAGTCTTGTAAAGTCCTTTTCTAAGTTAGTCCTAATGCACTTTTCACATCCAGCTGCAAGTTTTAATGTCATATCTCATGGTCTTTAACGTTCGTTCCACTGCGCCGCTTCAGACAGCACATCCAGCCTTCGCACAGTCTTTATTTAACAGTCCCGGCTGGTGGTCTGACAGTTTTATTAAGTCCAGACAGATCTGTAGAATGGGAAGTGCAAAGATGATGATGATGAGATGCTTAAGTCAGCGGGGTGTGTGATGGAGACAGTTAGGCCTGCTGCTAGCCATTGTAAAAGGAGCAAGCAAACAGTCCCCTCTTATATGCTTTTACTGCCACGAGGCAGCGTTATCACTGAGGCGCAGATGCTGTTTGCTGCTGTGTAAAGTGTGTGTGTGTGCACATATGCTTTTCAAACACACGTGTGCATTTGCATGTGTGTGCCCGAACAACAAATGGAAGCGGGAGCGTCTCGTAATAACAAACTGTGAGTTGTGTATCAGCCTATCAAATCAGAATGGAGTGTTCACATTTGATCATATCTTCCCTCTCGCCCTCCCTCCCCCCACCTTCTCGGCCCCCCACTCCTCTTGTTGAGATGTTACCATGGTAACGGCAGGGAGCTCTCAGATTGGCTGCGTCCCTCTCTTCGCCTGAACTATGGTTTCGCTGCTGAAATTGCCAATCAGCCTCTCAGATCCGCTGGAGAGGAGGAGGAGAGTGTGTGAATATATTTTGATTAACAAAAATGGAAGGGCACTTAGGAGGGAGAGGAAGGGGGAGAAAATTGTCAGAAAATATGATGTTAGTAAGGGATGGGGGCGAAGAGAAAATGTTGCTCTGGATAGAATACACTCTGCAATCCCTCCTTTTGTGTCGAAGCCTGGAGAGCAAACACTATTACATTCAAAAAGAAGGAATATTGACTCTAAATAAGATTGAATAGGCACTGTAACACTTCTGCCGATCGGGCATTAAGGTCTATGTTTGAATTTCCATGATAACAACCAGGAATATTGTGTGAATGTAGACATTAAAGGTGAAGAGACTGGAGGCGAGACAAGTCCACGCTGATCCAGGTATCCACTATAAGGGTGTTTTTGTGTTGTTTTAGCCCAAATTTTATTCATACCATCTTATCAAATCAAAATGTTGTAGCATGATGAGGCAAAGCGTCCACTGTCAGCTGCGTTATCAGCCAACAATAAGGCGTCTTTGGCAGCTGTGATGAAAGTCTCCCTTCAGAAAGATGGTCTTTTCAAAAAACTGTGCTGTCTGTGCAGCAGAAAGAAACATAAATACTGTTGAGATTCTTGCAACATGACACACAGAGAAAGGGCTGTGGCATTTTTTGCTCAAGAGGGAGAAAACTACCAGAATGCACTGTTCTGTACCAGACAAATTAACAGTCCTGCTAATGGGTGATGTATTGTGAAACCAGCCGTGTGGACCAGGCCTTCAGGAACAGCCAATTTTACCCAGTGGCCATCCGCAGTGTTGCAGCAAAAAAAAAAGAAGAAGAAAAAAAAAAAGAAATCAGAAATACTTTATTGATCCGTGAGGGGAAATTATGATTTGTTACAGTTGCTCCAATGTAAAGAATAGAGAATTATAAACAGTAAGAATAACAGTGTGAAAAAACAAGTACAAAGAAAGCTAAGTTAGAATAAAGTAAGAAAAATAAACTATCAAAAACGACTGCAACAGGCTGCATGCACAGGTCGGCAACATTTTCCTCTTCAGCCATCATAATAAGAGACATCTGTAGGACACCTTGAACTACAAACAAGGTCAGTTTTGACTCTTTCTATCATACTTTTTTTTATCCATGGTGGCTTTATATTTGTAAAACCTTCCTGGAGCCAAGAAAAGTGATTTAAAAACCTGTCATGTCATCACAATGTAAAGTCTACGAGCTGAGCAGGAACTTGTGGCGAGGTTAACAGAAGTAAACGTGGAAGCTAAAAACGTTTTTTTATGTACGTGCCATGGATGTATTAAGAGACCTGGATACAGCATTGAAGGCGGGCCCCCGTTCATTCCTATGAAAGCTGCTCAGTGGCGCGTGAAGCCAAAAAGGCTCTGATTCTGTGGTATGAAATTACACGGATGATCAGTGCTCCTCCTGCATCGTTTGGCCCATAGAGCAGGTACACTAGAGACCTCCACCGGATGAGCCAGCTACTTCTGGTTTAGTGCTCTGCTAACTTGATAGGAGATAAAAAGATTCAATCTTGTGCTCTTCTAGACTTTCAAAACATTATCGGACCAAATGGATCAAATTTTGATAATGAAAGAAGTTAATTTGTGGAGGCTGTAATGTTAAAAAAATGTATCCATTGATTGACAGACATCTCTTGCCAGTGTAAGTCTATGGGCAAAAAGTTTTTGAGCTGAGGGGCATCACGTGACGGACTTGGGAGTTGTAAATTCCGCTGTGCAGCCACTGATCAGCAATATCAATATTTTCAACCTCCGTTTTCACAGTGCAGTAAACAATATGGCGCCCACTTCCTGTTTACAAATTCTCATATTACAGCCAAACAGTGCACTAAAATATGTTTCTGAAGACATTTTAGGGGAAATAAAGGTGATACACAAACAGAATCGTGGGTTATATTGGATCAGCACTTTTACAGTTTGATCTGCAAGAGAGAGGTGCGTTTCTCTCTCTCTCTCAATCCGCTTCTTCACTCTTTGTGTCTGTGGTTGATGGCATACAAAAATGCAGAAGTACAATCTGTAGTTCAAGCAAAAGCTT